TAAATAAATGTTGTCAATCACTTTAAATGTTTTCCAACCCGATGAAATATTCTACACGACTATTCTGGTTTAAGCCTAACTTTACTTGTCAATAAACCATGCAGTAAATTAATAAATTGTTAATTTTTTGTTAGTTGTTGCTCTTTTAATTCCTTTGCCGATTTCATGCTTTTCTGAATCCGCCCTAAAAACAAACACTTTTAAATCTTCTTGGACCCTGTTTAAGTTTAAGTCTTGCAATAACGATATAATAATGAGGTACCTAGTGAACTCCCTATAGTAATGAATTGGTCAGCAATAAATTTAATTAGTGTTAATTAGTAAAAATAACAAAATATTTATTTAAATTACATTAATCTGTTTTGAAATTAATTAAATATTTTAAAACATAAAATATTTTAAATATAAGAATTAAATTAAAACGGTATGTTCATTAATTTAAAATATTATTCAATAATTAAAACCAATCAAAATAATGAAATAAAAATGCAAATATTTCGGCAAAAGATTTTTTTTGCTCTTTGAAGATTTCATAAATATATTCTGTATATATTCGTGTATATTCAATGTATACACCCAAATTTCAAAGCCACACTTTTCAGATCGAACTATACACAAGAAGAATTTTGGTTAGGTTGAAATTCCATGTACAATGAAAAATGCTTGCAGCAATTATTAGTTTCTGATATAATAATTATTCACCAGAAACACTGTTGTGGTAAATAATATTTTATTTCACTTGACTTGAAAATACAGTTGACTAAAATAGAATAATTTTGCTGAAACTGTTTTTCATTAAGTGGATTTTTCAATAAGCCCACATCACTACCAAATATGGCACAAGGTCAAAGTTTAAAGTGGTTTTAACAGCAGTAACGTGGAAAAAATTCTCAAGCCCCCCTCGGCACTACCTCTTTTAGTGGACGCACAGTTGCCGGGTGATGATCGCAGCCCTCTTCCGATGGAAAGATATTACCTGGTGGTGGTGATGGGGGGGTGGGGTGGGTGGTGTCTCCTAGTGTGCCTGGAACATAATATTATTTTGAAAGTACCCCAGCCGAAGCCAGGGAAGTATTTAATACGTTTCATTAAGTATTTTAATAATAAATACTAAACAATTTTTTCTTTAGGGTCTGAAGAATAAGGTTAAAGGTGGTCAGAAAATTGGTTAAATATTCCTCAAAATATGGTGTTTTGTTGTTCGATGAAGAATAGGGGTGCATCTATACGGAAGATATACATATAATAATCAAGGATTTTTGAGTTCAAAATCAGCGGTTAACCTATACATGAATTTCAAGTGTGATTGTAACTTCTCCCGGGTAGCATTAGCCGTTGTTAAGTAAGTGAATAAATATACCTATTGGACAGAAATCCGTTTCGGGTCATTTGATAGTAAAACTGTCACATGTTATAATGGATTCCAGATGCGAATAACTCTTTTCCGAGACATAAATCAGCTTTTTTGTTTTTCAAGATACCGACATCAACTTCTACTTTAAACTCTCTGACCCCAGCGTCTGTATTATAAGTTTACACCGTTTTAGTACGTTAATGTGAGGTCTGGCCGTTCCATTGCCCCGAAACTGATGGACCTGTCGGCTGGAAAGGATCGTATGTAGAGAAATACAAAGTAAAAAGCTTCGTCAGAAGGAATTCATAAAACATGGCCCATGTTTTGTGTGATAAATTATGTCAGACGCTGGCAAACTGATTGATTGAAGTTAAATTTCACTTGAAAGTAGGCTTCCGAAATTATTCCTTTCTATTTCGTGTGTGCAAATAAGCATGAGGGTGTGCTGAAAAGTTCTCGATCATACACACTGTTCAGAATATTGCCAAATAATCGAACAACAAAATTGTTTCTTGAAGCTCTTCTTGCTCAGGCTGAGAATTTTTCAGAAGCCACTCGTATATATATATATATATATATATATATATATATATATATATATATATATATATATATATATATATATACACACACATACATATAAGTGTGTGTATATATATAAAATAAGAAACGTATATCAATTTAACATGTTTCACTTTAAAGCTTTTATTAAAGTTTTCTTTCAATCTCTAACGAAGATTTAAAAGTGAAACATGTTGGATTGGTATACATTTCCTGTTCTTTATCTTATCATCCTGTCGCATTTCGATCCATATTTGGTCTTTAACTTATATATATATATATATATATATATATATATATATATATATATATATATATAAATTCTTGCCTCACTACAGGTGACCGGTGAGGATATATATTTAATATTAATATATAATTTATAGCTCTGTTATTTTACATAGAAAATTATTTTATTAAAACCAGCGCTCAATGTATATTTTATATATATATATATATATATATATATATATATATATATATATATATATATATATATATAAAATGGCGAAATCGCAAACAAAATTTTAAAGTTCATTAACCTACGAAAAAAGTGAGATTAGTATAAAAGTACTTTAATTCAGTCATCCTATGGAAAATTTTGCTTTTAGTAAAATCCAGGTAGTAACTTGAGACAAAAAAATTTCGAATCAAACAAAATTTTAAAGATACAAACTTTTGCTAATTAATTTTGAAAACCAATTTGATGAATGTTCAATAAATAGAGTAATGTTCAGTTGATCCCGAAAATTTGTAATGTTTTAAATCAAATACAGTTCAATTTATATTACAATGAAATCTAATTTTTTATTAAAATGGGTCGCAAACAAAAATAAATGTTATGATTCTTGTTTTTTGAATAAATTCATTTCTTTAGTTATATCCATCTCATCAGACGGACTACATTCTACATTTTCACAAAATGTAGTCTGATGAGATGAATATACCTATATTCATCGAAATAAATATGGATTTTTAATTTTTCCAATGTATTACACACACACACACACACACACACGCACACACACACACACACACACACACACACACACACACATATATATATATATATATATATATAATCAATTTTCCCTAAATAAGGTGATAATGTCATTTAGACGCAAGGAACAAAACAAAAACAAGTACTCCAATTTAAAAGATTGTGTGTGTGTATATATATATATATATATATATATATATATATATATATATATATATATATATATATGTAGAGAGAGAGAGAAAGGGAAAGGGAAAGAGAGAGAGAGACTAAGAGTATTTGAGGATATGTGATTGTGTGCCTGAAGTTATGTGATAATCAATTAATGAACTTTTATCTTTTCGGAAAATCAATGACTAATGCATGAGATGAAACGGCCTGCTGGATTTGTTGCGATACACGCAAAGCCCAGCGATGTTGAGATTGCACGTTTTCTGGAAGACGCCAGGTCGTTTGTGAACAAAGTTCCGATGGAGTTGGAAGCCCCCCCAGCGACGATGTTGTCGCCTGTAGCGAAGCGCAAAATTCATTCATTGCATTCGCATAGAATCAAAACATCACAATTCATATACCAAAAGCAAGTGAGAATTTTTTTTCTAAATTTTAAATTCCCAACGTCTCTCGTTTCCTGCGCACGTGTAGTCATATCAACATAAACATCACTTTTAGTCCGATGATATCCTCAGGGACGAAACGTGTCACACGAACACTTTTGCCACTTTCTTATACATTTTTCCTTTCTAAACAGTTCTTTTTATATAAAATGTCTTTATCCAATATATATATATATATATATATATATATATATATATATATATATATATATATATATATTGATAATATATATATATATATATATATATATATATATATATATATATATATATTTAAACACATTTCATTAACTAATGTAGACATCATATATCTATTTATTTTTATACTGATCTTTCTTTCCTACCCAAGTACTTTCGATCTCTCTCCTCCAAGATCATCGTCAGGGGTAAATCTTGGAGGAGATCGAAAGTACTTTCGCCATTTGAAGAGAACAGCCGATTTTGGCAAATCGAAAAGTTCTCATTTTGCACCATGACATCGCAAGACCGCATGTTGTAAAACAAAACGTACAGAAGATTAAAGAGTTGAAATAGGACTCCTATCCTCCAGCACTCACCTTATTTTCCAGACATGTCTCCTTCCTTCGGATTTTCATTTCTTCCAATCTCTATAGAACAATTTAAATGACAAACACTTTGACTATGTACAATTGAAAACTACCAAGCTTGTAGAACGATGGGAGACAGTTTTGAAAAAACAATGGAGAATATATACTTGACTAAGAAATGTTTTTTGTGAGGTTGTTAAATTTTGTTTTTAATTTTCTAATCGGGCGCGAACTTTGATTTAATATGTATTAGGAAAATCTATGACAAACTGGAAAACAATTTTTGTGTGACACATTTCGTCCGTTCGGACTTCATCTCACATTATCATAATTTTGGTTTAAAAATGCTACTTGAATTAAAATAAAAAGCAATTTACAAAGACGAAAATGTATAGAGAGAATGCTTTAAACACTAGACTATTAACAGTAAATTTACGTTTAGACTCTTGCAATATTTAACCTTTCTTCGTAGATCTTCTATTATCATAATGGGAGATATTTAATAACAAAATTGATGGAAACATGAGCAAAAAGAAAAAGAAATAAATGAAATCGGCGAGACTATATTCCTAAAACAAATATTTAAAAAAATAAATTAAATTAAAAAATTCCGCGTCCCCTCTTCTTCATGCGCATGTGTAATCACGTTTATGTAAACATCACTTTAGTTCGATGATGATATCCTAAAGGACGTAATACGACACACGGAATTTTTACACTTTGTCATAGATTTTCCTAAAATTGTTCTTGTTATATATCCATAGATAAATTAACTTATGGAATAAAAAAGTCAACTGACACAGAAATACGAACAAATGAACATAAAACACGGTGTGAAAGTTAATGGTAAAATAACTTTGTTTATATTGGGGGAAACGCTTTGTCCTTTTTAGTTCATTTTAAAAATTAATATAACTCTGAATAACATGCTTATAAATAATAAAGATTCGATTATCATAGTCGTGATAGATCTATCTATCTATCTATCTATCTATCTATCTATCTATCTATCTATCAATTTCAGTCACTCAATCTAGATAAGTGACAATTTAATTCCGCTGAGTATGATGCAAAAAACGTTAATTCATTTTCGTTAGTAACAGGAAAGTCAACGAATCTGGGCTTCACACATACACACACACACACATACATATTTTATATTGTATGTGCAGTACTTGCCGGAAAGCGCTCAATATCAGTGATAGAGCTAACATATTTAGTTGTATGGATGTGAGTTCGTCTGATGATCGAAAAAGCGTGAAACCCACGGTCACAAATTCACATCCATACAAGTGAATATATATATATATATATATATATATATATATATATATATTGTCCGTCTCTAAGCATGTGTGTGCGCGTGCGTGTTTCATTGGGTGTGTGCGTGCTTATACATAACAAAAAGATTTTTTTCCCCCGTGATAAGTCGAGACAAAATGTGATAAGGGAAAAAGGTAGAGAAATGAAAATAAAAAAAAAAGGAGAAAGTCTCTGAAAGCGAATTTGCCATATAATCTCTGGGGAGAGAGTAGAATGGTTCGTGATGGTATCCGATAAGCTTCTAGATAGCCGAGAGTAAGGGTCACGAAAATAGGAGAAAAGGGAGTTGTTGTTCAGGATTTACGACAAGAGGTGAGTTTAAAAGGAAAAGGGGGTTGTGGGGACGGGACACCACGTCACGATCAGGTTTCTATGGTTACGTTTGAACGCACTGACCTTTTCTGGGTTGTTCCATTTTTTTATTCTTTTGCTTTTGTTTTCATTGGTATTTTATTGCTTGTCTCCCCCCCCCTTTACACCGCCCCTTTGGGGGTTTATTTATTATTTTCGTCCCTTTTTTGTCTTTGGGAAGTGGTAATTGTTAAGCCTTGTTTTATTTTACTTACTCTTATTTTGTTTGGTGCTTGTCATGTGTTTTATTGAGGCTATTTATTTATTGGTACGGTTTTATATGTTTCCTTATTTTACAATGTTCAGTTCAGACTGGTAAACCCTTTCTTTTTCGTTGTGTTTTGCTTGGCGAGCGATAAGAGACGAGGTCGCCGTTTGAAACATGGGATCTGTCAAATTCTATCGCAGTACTTGGCTATCACTAACGAAAAATTATAGCCTGTTTTGTTTCTTTCATTTGTTAAAAAAGACGCCAAAAGGTTAGATCGTAATATGAACAACGACTTCTCACATGCTTTCTTTGCCTATTCTCATTGTACATGCTAGAGTAGAAACAAATGAATTTTTGTTGAACATGCTATATTTTCAGAAGTGTACTACTTGCTATTTAGTTACAGGTTGAACCTCACTAATCCGGCATTATTACAAAGTACCGTGATGCTTAATATAAAAAATAATTATTTGATTTTTGATTGATTAAGAAATATCGACATTTTTCTCTATAAAGTTTAAAATGTAAATCATTACGATAATTTTTTGGTTATAGATAAAAAAAAAAAAACATCATTACACTAGCTATTTTCAAAGGTAAAAGAAAAACTTATATTAGCCGACGTGTTTCATCCCCTGATGGACTTTATCAAGGCTTTTTTTTATATAAATACAAGGATTTTATTTTGCAACAAGTGCTTATACACAGAAGAAAAAAAAATTTTTTTTCAGAATTTTTAAAGAACGCATATATATATATATATATATGTGTGTGTGTGTGTGTGTGTGTGTGTGTGTGTGTGTGTGCGTGTTTCCGGCTAACTGAAAGTCAAGGTAAATTATGGAGGATGCTAAGTGATGTAAATTAATGTGTAATATAAACGAAAGTGAGAAAAGTAGCTGTTGCTGTTGAATTTTTATAATGTAATTAGAATTTACTTATTTTTATACATACATATGTATGTGTGTGCGCGCGTGATGTGTGTGCGTAAAAATTCAGATATAAATAAAATATATCTGTAAAGTATAAAGTCAATATAAATAAAGGCAAGCATAAAAAACTATTTATGTTGATAAAGTACCTCAGGGACTGAAACATGTTGGTAAAGAAAAGTTTTCCTTTTGTCTTTATATATATATTAATAAATATACATATTATCCCTCACCAATAGTACTGAGTATAGACTGACCGTCATATATATATATGAAGCAGATTATCACAGAATAAAAAGGTGTGTGAGGAGCTAAATCAGTTGTTAATTTTTAAATATTCCTGATTCTATATTTTTCCATCTGATCCTCTCATAGAATGAACATTTTTAAACCTTTTATACTTCAATCTGCTACTTAACAATTCTTTTTTTTTTGTTTTCATTTTCAATACCCATTTTTTTTCTTTTCACTTGTTCATATTTTTGGGAATGAGAATTATAGATTTTTTTCAGCATATAAGACTTCAGCTAATGTTTTGGGAAAAAGCGTAACATGAACTTTTTTTTCATTTATTTTGAAAATTAATGACTTTAATGTTTTAGACAAATGATGCAGCTCATCAATGGCATTGTCATTTTGGTTAACTATTTTTTTTTTTCAGTTTCAGCAAAAAAATTGAGTGTTGATCATTCCCAGCCCCTCACCCCCTATAGAACAAACAAGGTAACAGAAAATGAAAAGTATTTGGCTAAATTAGATATTAAGTTTTAAAGATTTTGGATTCTATATTTTTTTATCAGATGCTTTCATAAAATCAATATTTCACGCTTCTGTTTATTTTCTGGAATAATATATAGAGACTCTTTTTAGCATATAAGAGATACATAAAATATTTAGAAGCTAAAATCCCATAAAGTACCGGGACATGAAGTTTTTAGATCTATTTTAGTTTAGACCAGTAATAATTTGCCACAGATGATAGAACTCAGCACGGGAGCATTGTTACAGATTTGAGTCAAATGAAGACAAGTGTTTCTGCTTAATTCTCAGTTTCACGAAAAACGTTTGTGTGTACTTGGGACGGCTAGGTAAATCTCCCCAGTCATCTAACTTCCGTGGATGTATATATGACGGTGATACAATAAGCTTGTAGGCTGATATATAGTTATTAGCTGAATTTAAATTCAGAAATTTTTAATGTATAATATTCGATCTTTGTGATTAATATCCACCACTTAATTAATTTGCATCGATATGGTTTCAACCTTAATGATGAATTTGCACATCAATATATATATATATATATATATATATATATATATATATATATATATATATATATATATATATATATATATGGGTACATCCCCAAAAAAGCGATAGCTAAGGTTTAAAAGGCATTTTAAAAATGAAAAATCTTTCTTGAATTTTTTTATTGCAGTTTTAATTCAAAACTAATAGATTAAATTTAATATTTCCAATAAACAAAATACTTTATTTTATGTCAAATTGAATTTAAATTGATTGAATTTTTTTGTTTATCACTAAAGTGGTCTATATTGAAAACCCATTCATCTATCTATCTATCTATCTATCTATCTATCTATCTATCTATCTATCTATCTATCTATCTCTTGCTTACCAGTCAACTTTGAACTTCAATTTAAATTCAATGTCAATCATTATCTTATGTATTCTTAATATCTGTTCTTTTATTGTTCTCTCTTCTTAATAGTGTATCTCCCCTATTCTTTAACATTGAGTAACCCCTTGCGTCTTAGTGGGCTTATCGCCTTGCCTTGCTTGGATATGATATGATATGATATATATATATATATATATATATATATATATATATATATATATATATATATATATATAAAAAGAACGAAAGAAAGGGATGTATTTTTTATTAGTCCGCAAGATTTTATCACTTAAACGTTATTTTTAAGTCAATAGACGAAAATAAATATACTGTTTAATAAATAAACGGAGCATCTACTCTAATCCACTAAAATAACGCTTAAATAATAATAATAATAATATAACACCTTTGTAATATATATATATATATATATATATATATATATATATATATATATATAGCACATTCTTTCTTTTCATTTCCTTTTTCTTAATCTTCACGTTTTCAATGAAATCTTCATACTTTTTCCGTCATTTAATTTTGTTTTTCCCTTTTTATATCAACGTTACTTCTTCATCAGTACCATTCTCCTTTTCAGTCATCCATTTTTGTCTCTACCTCAATTCCCGGCTTCATTTCTCCTCTCCCTCCTTTTTCTTCTTCATTTCCTTTTCCTTCTCCTTTATGATTTTCCTTCAACTTTTTCTTTTCGACCATTTATAAAATCGCTCTAAATGTAGAAACAAATACTGAAATATTCGAACCGAGTTACCAATCTCTGCTCCATTTTCTCTCTATCTTTTTCTATATCTATGTCTTTTTCACTTCGTCTCCAGGCCCTAAACTAAAGCTAAAACACTATTTCAGTCATATAAATCTACCTCGCAAGGATTATTACAAGTTCCATAATCCTGAACGGCTCAAACCCGGCTTCGTCATAATATCGGAAGATATTCCTTGTGCACTGAAAAGGAGAGAGCCAATCGCTTATCCACACACATCGCTTCATATATATATATATATATATATATATATATATATATATATATTCTAAAATTATTATTTCAAATCCGTTCATCCCCAAATTTATACTGCGTATCAAATGACAAATTGACTCCCGCCAAAAATCGCTGGTCAATTGATTATCGACTAAAACCAATCCTCTCAAGTAAAGGAATTCCGACCGGCACTTTACACTCTAGCGTTTAGCGTTTGTGCTATTGTCGAATTACATGTTTTGTGGACTTATATCACTTATCAAGAACTTAGCAAAAGTCTTTATAGACATCGGAGATAAGTAGTTGCCATCCTTACTTTCAAAGCTACTATTGTCATCTAGGATTTTCGTTGCCGGCCAAAGACCAATAATTCTGAATAGTCAGTGTTGCATTCTAAGAATTTTGTCAGTAGAACTACAGAGAAATTAAAGGATAAATAATCTTTCTATATTAATATATACATAAAAATATATACATACAAAATATACATTAATATAGACACAAATATACTTATATATTGTATATTTGGGTAGCAGTCTCTCTTTTATGCATGTTTCGTTGAATATGATAGACAAAGAATATTTTGTAATCTTTTTAATCAATGTTTCTAGTGTCCTTATAATTTTTAATTTTTAAAAGTAGATAGGTTCACCTAACGTTTGCTTCACACTCCTCACTGGTCTTTTGAACGGAAGTAGAAGTTAATCACTTGTTCCCTGATTAGGATTGGGTTTCCGGTTCCTTTTAAAGCCTTTTCCTTATGAAACCCTCTACCTCGAGTGGTTCTTTGGCTTTATAGAGTGTAAATGTTATTGTAAAAACGGAATGTTTAGAGGAATTCTCCATAGTTTTCATTGACCCGAACGCATTTCAATAATTCTTTCGTCATTTTCAGTGGGTGTTTTTATTCTTTTCGTGATAACGAAGATTATTAGTATATTTGTGTTATTCCTTTCCTCTGCTGTGTGAGAGTAACAGTAAATTAATTCTTAGTAGAGTTCAGTTTCAAAACACAGCCAGGGTACCCTGGTTGCATTCGAAAAAATAAAAGCCCTATTCAAAGTGAGTCTAGTGTTTTTAATTACACAACGCATATATTCAATGAAACACACGCACACACGCACACAGAGACACTCACACTAACATACAGACGCACACACACACACACACACACACACACACACACACACACATATAGTAATTTTTAAAGTATTTTTATCCGACATTATTTCGTATAGCTATGAAACTATTGGGTACACTTGTTTGAATTGATATTCTTAATTTTCATAAGGTAGTATTTTATTGTAACCTATTTATGTACAATACTGGATCATATGTCCTATAGGTGAACAATTCAAGCAGAAAAATTTAATATAAATGTATCTAAATACTAATTAGAGACGTCATAATAGATGATTTCATCTTAAATAAATGAACAATATTTTGCGGCAATTTTTAACAACAACGTGAGATTTTTCTCGTTAAAAAGTTGTATAATTTTAACACATTCAACATTAAGGATTAAAAAATAGTGATTTTTATATAGTATTTTTCGAAACTTACGAAGGAGAAAATAATCCATGGATTTGGACATAATAAAAACAGACCTCCAGAATGACAACAAATTTTGCTTTCGTTCACCTAAATAAAGCCTTTGGTACAGTCTTCTTCTGAGTCTTCTACGCCAATTTCACGAGGATATGCTCACTAAAGTATCTGTCGGGGGATCCTCATCAGAACAATTCAGTATGCATACGGGAGTTAAACAGGGCTGTGTTCTTGCTTCCATGCTCTTTAACATCTATCTGGTTTCTGTGCCTCGTCTCTCTCAGTTACATATGGAATCCAACGACGGAATACGTATCCGACATCGCTTTGACGGAAGCGTCTTCAATGCCCGACGTCTCAAAGCTAAGACACTGACCTCTACCATTCCTGTCTATGATCTGCAATATACCGACAATGCTGCCATAGATTCTCATGAGGTACTCTCACTACAACAGTCCCTGACTTCATTGCATGAGACTTATGCTCGCCTTGGTCTTGATATGAATCCAAATAAAAAAACCGGAAGTCATTCAAACAGCGTTTAAACGACGTGATCCAGAAGCCCGGCTAAACATTGACAACGTTTCATTGTCTAATGTTAACTTATTCATCTAGCGCGGGTTAGGGTTAGGTCCAATAATCGACACACTGATGAAGACATTCTCCGGCGGATAAACCTCGTCTCCGCTTCCTTCGGACGTCACCGCCTCCAGATCTTCACTAATAGCAACATTCGACTCACCACCAAGGTCGCTGTCTATCGAGCTGTTGTTGTTTTAACACTGGTCTACGGCTGTGAATGCTGAACCCTGTATCGCCGACAAATAAAACTGCTCGAGACATTCCATATCCGCTGCCTTCAGCGAATCGTGTGCGTTATTTGGAGGGATAAAATCCACCCACATATATATCAAATATGTGGTGCAGTTTAATTTATATTACAATCAATCATTCATACAAAAAGTAAATTAGTAAAGTTAATGGCTTTCATTAACTTTCTAATTTACTTTTTGTATGAATGATTGATATATATATATATATATATATATATATATATATATATATATATATATATATATATATATATATATATATCGAAATAAAAGTATAAAATTTAATATTACCGGGAGATGAAAATTTCTGTTTTAAATAATAAAATCTCCGTGAAGCCTGACGAGCGGGAGCGAAACCGGTTTCGCTCCCCTCGTCCCTTGTTGTTGAGTTGTTTTTTCTATTATTTAATTTTTTAATATGTCTGGTAATATTAAATTTTATACTTTTTTATTTCGATCATTAAATTTTGTACCTATCGATAAAAATACAAAAATATATTTATATATATATATATATATATATATATATATATATATATATATATATATATATATATATATATATATATATATATATATATATATATATGCATGTGTGTGTGTGCATGTGTGTGTTCGTGTGTTTCTAGAATGTATAATAGCACCCGAAAACAAAGTGGAAATGATAAGACAAAATGAAAAAGCTTTTAAACGACGCGTCAGAATTAAAGACAAATATCTATGTGTAATGAAAATTCGTTGTAATTTTACGGTTCTGATTTTTACCGAAAGGCACATTCTTTTTATTAAATTTTGTTGAGTGTGCAGGCCGCTAGACAAAAAAATAAACAAAGGTTTAAAAACAAATGAAGCGTCTACTCAAATACGTGTATCCGTTAAAAATAACGTTTGGAGTAACACACACACACACACACACACACACACACACACATTCATAACCAGTTTAAGTGCATGCTAAAAATATTTAATCATTTTTGTTTCTTAGACATTAAATTACGTCCTCCATAAGTTACCTTGACTTTTCAGTTAACCTAATATATATTTATGAGCGCTCTTAAATTTAATTTTTTTTAAACTAACGACATTTTTACTTTTGTTTATAAATACTTGTTACAAAATAATATCTTTACATTTGCCTTGATAAAGTACAAAAGAAGACGAAACGCATCGGTTAAGTTTTCCTTTTGTCTTTATCTATCTATCTATCTATCTATCTACATATATATATATATATATATATATATATCAGTCGGGTTTCGATCCTGGCTTGAGGCAATCGGATGTCTAGCCACACTTATGAGCTGTGATACAGCGAAACAGTCCGATGTGGATGACAATATATATATATATATATATATATATATATATATATATATATATATATATATATATATATATATATATATATATATATATATATATATATATATTATTTTTGGGAAAGTATCCATGAAGTGATAACTGCCGACGACAAACTTACGTAAAATAACAGATTAATGTAATATGGAAATGAAGTTCAGATAAATAGATATAACAGGAATAACAGAAGGTGTCGGAAAACAGAAAAGTTTCTTACACACAAAATATTTTAATAACAATATAGAAATCGCACAACACACATGAGATCATAGAAAATTTAAACACAACAGTGCTAAGCTTATAACAACAACCCAACACTTTTGTCTAGTGAAGAAAATATTAATAATCTCGTTTGCAAAATAATATTAGTTACTGAACAAGAGATAAGAGCTCGTTTCCAAATGGTTACAAGAATAAAAAAGTTCCTTCTACGCTACCTACAACCACATCAAAATTCTAAAGACCGAATAGCTAATAAATTAAATCTAATAAACTTTATTTCAGATAGCAAACGTAAGAACAGAAGAAAGTATAGAAAAATAATAACAAATGAATCAAATATATGCATTAAATAAATAAATTCAAAATCACGATTACAGTCGAACATTATTAAACAAAAAACTTGAGAAACCTTTTTTACCTTCCTGCACGTTACATAAGCCAACAATGACCTATATAGAGAGCTTACACGACGAGAGCTAGTGGTTTGATGAACTCTTAAGACGTGACACCGACAATCTCAATGAAGTGTTGATTTCTATGTCAGCACTATATATATATATATATATGTGTGTGTGTGTGTGCGCGCGCGCGTTAGATAAATGTTAAGAATATCAGGACGAGTTAAAGTCAGTGACAAGTTACAACACTTTCGCTATTATCGCTTCTTTTGGTTGTACAAGAATAATCATTATATCCCAAATTTATTTGTTACATTATAGAGTATCAAAAATTGACAAATCGGTATTATTTCAACGTGCCATATAAATGTATATTCAAGCCTGTTTCTTTTAGTCAAACTTGAAGCTCGACAATAGATATTTTCGTAAATGCATGGACATTGATATTTCATTCTTTTTAATTTTTTTAACTTTTTTCTTTATTAATATTTTTCTTAATCATTTCAACTTAAGCACGTCGATGTTGCCACTAAGACGTAAGGGGTTACTGGGAGTGAAAGAGAATGAGAAAGGACAATAAAAGATCCGACTTCGGGAAGACAGAAGATTGCAATCGACGTTGCATTTAGATTTTTTAAAAATTGTTGGTGACAGGGAAACAAGAAACTGGAAGAGCCTTCCACAGGCGAGAAAAGGAAATCTTCGAATAGAACTTATCGTTGCATTTAGCTAATTCAACACTAAAACATTGATACCTAGTTGTCAATCTAATAGTATGTTTAAATTCACGCATTCAAGATACCAAGGAGGAGAGATTATTAAAACAACTGCCATGAAAATATTTATAGAAAAGTCAGAGTGAAGTTACGTTACAGCGGTGAGAAAGGGACTAAAGTCGAGATGCCAGGTCAGGACCAATAAGATTACAGATCCTTCTTTGGATTTTGTCAAAAATCTCAATATATATAGCAGGAGCACCAGACCAGATGCTCAGCAGCAACATTCAATGCACTGACGAATGGTAGATTTATACATGTGTATTTGGAATTCTGACAAGAAAAAATTGTTAAGACTAATTATGATTGAGCGTGTATATATATATTTTAATGGAATTTGTATCTGATATTATTTCTTTATTACTATAAACTAGGTATCTCCAAAATTCGCTAAAATAGACAAAAAGGCCCCAAATTTGATAAAAACAAAGTTTTGTCGTCAAAATGTTATTATTACAAGGAAAGATCAAAGTACTTTCTGATTATTTTATTAAATTTTTTAATCCTTTCTAGCACGTTCGAATTTTTTTGTTAAAATTCTTGTTTTTCTTGCGTCAGCGAATGGGTCGAAGATTAGTATTGGAAATTTAGCGTATTTTTTGCCTTAAAAACAGGTTGTTTGAAAATTCTAGCAAAAATTAAATAATTGTCAGATTTTAATGAAATTATTTATGAATTTCTTTTTTTAGAAAACCTTGGTAAAATCGTCTTTTTACTTTTACATCTGTTACCGCCATTTACTTAATTTTACAAAATTTCGAGAAATTAAAATTCCACTCTCTTCATATTTATATTAGTTAAAAGCAGGCATCCATGGAGAATTTAAATGATCAATTTTTTTGTCAAACAGAAACGTCATTTACCGAAAATCTGCTCCGAATTGCAAAATAAAAAAAAAAACGCAATAAAACTATGGCATTATTTAATTAGAAAAGATTTTAATTGCTTTTATAAATAAGATATATGAAGGACACTATTGAATAGAATTTTTTCGATGCATAATGAATTTTTACAAGAATTGTTTTCATTTTTTACTTTCATTTGAATAATTTATTAAGTTTTAAATCTTCTAAAATTCTGTATTAATTTTAGCCTTTTAGATGTTATTATTAAGTAAAAACTATATTTAATAATCATTAGTACAAATAATCAAACACCAATACTTTTAAAAGATTTTTTGCATGTTCATAAACTTGCCAATTTTTGTAGGTACACAACATTATCAGAAAATAAGAGCGATAGCTATAGTAAATTTAAAGCCAAATTACCTAAAATTCAATAAAACATTAGATTACGGAGAAATTTTCCTACATTTTTAAGATTACTGAGTACTTAAAAATTGTATAAAAATGGAGCTCACTTCATTTTCTTCAAATTATGTTTTACGGATAAAGACCCCGTAGAAAAAATTAGGTCGGTCACCACGTTGTCAGCGCGTCAACACCTTAAAATAAATAAGCAGATATTGTCGACTGTATTACTGCGATATTTCAATATTTTTTTCTAATCAGTTTAATTATACTTTAAATTAGTTAATATTTCCTCAATTTTCAGAAAAGTGTATATTTTATTTTTGTAAGAATTTTTAATAAAAAGAATTCCTTTGCGGTGAAAAACGACGATTAAAAAAAAAAGGAGCTAATCAGATATTTTAGAAAAAATAAATCTTCCTTCCAATCAATTTAAATTAGTTTTTGAAATAAAGCAAACTATTTTGCTTATTGGAAATATTAAATTTAATGTATTAACTTGAAATTAAAACTAAAATAAGATTTTTCATTTAAAAAAAATCATTTTAAACTTAGGTATCATGTTTTCTTTTGTGGTACCTACTATAAACGTTATTTTTAGTGGGTTTAGTATTTAATAATATAAAAAAAAAAACGGATAGCAAACTCAACTAAGTATACCCACTAAATATGGGGCGTATAGCAATATATATATATTTGTATGTATATGTATGCATGTGTGTGTATGTTGGGCGCTTCGACGTAGTGAGATAGTTAGCAACCTTGTTTCGCTAGATCAATGCGATTATGTAGTGAGTTCGATCCTCACTGGATACTCCTTTCTTTCGGATTGATACCACATTTATGCTATGCATAGTAAATCGCTATATTCGGATACCTCGATGTAGTGTAATGGTTAGCAAGTTTACCATCATAGATTATTTTCAACTGATTATTGAGTTCGATTTTCACTATGTG